TTTTGTTTTTGATGCTCTACAACTTCCATTCCGCTTATTTTTTTTTTCAATGACCTCCTGATTTTTCCGTGCTAAAATTTGAGCTTTTTATGTATAAAAAGAAATTAAAGATAGAAAAGATCACAAAATAAAAAAAAGAGCCTTATTCTTGAGATGATAGGAATAAAACTTTAGTATGAAAACAGAAAAATTATTATAAATAAAAATGCCAAAATAAAAAAAAGGGCGTAAGACAGAAATTGAATGTCTTAAATCAATATTTTGGCCTTCCAGTCATATGCTGCTATTAGATTAAGAGGATTTCTTCTGAAGCTAATGACATTAATCAATTGCTTATTTTATTCAAGATTTTGACTGAAGCTGATGATTCAAAGGAGAGAGCGTCGCAAACTTTTGCCAACAACAAATTAAAAGAATTAATACTAATTTTATTAAAAATTATTCATAATTCCATGCTAAGATTCGCACGTGCACTACTATTCCTAGTTTTCCTTTTTTCAAAATAATAATAATTGGGTACTGGCTAGATATCAAAGTAACCAATCACATTCTAATTAAGGATATTTTTCTAGCATCTTTGCCAAGGATTATCATCATATTTTTTTTTTTAATAAAACCCTACCATACACCAGCACTCATCAACATTTCATCAAAGATTTTTATCATATAATGTAAATATGATTGTTTTCTTTGTTGTATTCTTGTTGTCCACTTTTTCCTAGTTAATCAAGATATATTAATTTACAATACATAAAGTTTTTTAGATTAAATTAATTTACGTGTTAAAGGAAAATTATTATTTCGGTTTATGACTAAAATAAATTGCAACTAAAATCACTGTTTCGAAATGATATTTTTATTTCAAAAGTTTTATTTTTATTTTTAAATAATTTTTAATAAAATTCTTGAAACTCTATAGCTAGAGGCCATTTGACAAACACGTTGTGTGTCCATATATCTAATATCCCCATTTCAAACTTTTTCAAGCAGATCCTCACTTGATGAGCACCGAGTGCTCATCACTAGGACGACTGACCTTGGCTTTTTATTTTTTAACATGAAATGATATCTACCATTCATTTGAAATTGATTTTTTAAATATTTTTAATGTTGTATATATTAAAATAAAAAATTATAAAAATTACAAAAAATATTAATTTTAAATTTGGATTATCCAATGTACATGTAAATGGTCAATTATAAAAATTAAAAATTTTTAAAATTTTAATTGGACAGTTGGGATCAAATCTCTATTGTCCAAAATATATCTTAATGGTTAATCTATGAAAATTATTATTAAATTAAATTATTTAGATTAAATATGTACTGTCCTGATTGATGATAAACAAATTTATTAAAAAATTTATAATTTTTATAAATTCTTATTTTTCACTAGATATAAATTGTACTTTTCATAAATAAAAAGAAAAAATTAAATCTGAGTGATTCAAATTTTATCGAGGTGATGAGCACCATGATATTTATTCCATAAATGAAGATAGAAGATATTTCAAATTTAAATTTAAATTTTTATAATTTTTATTTTGATAAATATAATATTAAAAATAGCTAAAAATTAATTTAAAATAACAGCAACTATCATTTGATGTCAAAATGAAAGGTCAGGATTAAGCCTCCTAGTGATGAGCGCTCGGTGTTCATCAGCTGAATAAGGATCCTTTTTAAGCTCCCAAAGCTTCCAACCCCATCCTATTTCACCTCTAATATCCAATATATAGAGCTCAGTAAATTAAATTAAAAATGTAAAACAATGTTTTCAATCATAACTCCCCCGACATGTTTATTAAAAAAGGAGCGTTCAGAATCTTATATATACGTGGTGTGTATATATATAGATAAGTAAAAAGCAACCAAAATTAAAAGCACCTTGACCTTGACATAAGCAATAACAAACCCCATACACATATTCAAAGGAAAAGAGATCAAGCAGAGATGATATGTGTGCTGTCTTCAATCTTTAATTACTTCTCCTTCTAATGGCTAAATGAAATTTCTTTAATTATTAGCTAAAAATTTCTTTTAATTTTACCCCAATATTTAAATAAAATATTTTAACTTGCAATACATTTATGAATTTAAATATATAAAGATGTGTGTGTGTATTTATTATATTTTTATTTGGCCCATCGGATCAAATTTTTGATCACTCAAGCTTCTTCTCTGTGAAGTTCAGCTGCCTGTATATGGGTTTATTTGTCACTTGACATTGACAAAATATGATATTATCAGGTCTCAGTAAATTTGAGAATTCGGATGAGTTGGGCCTATTTGAGCTTGGCCTGAATAAGCCTGACCTGAATAGACTCGAACCCAAACATACTCCATTCTCTGAAAAGCTTGAATAGCTAAGTTCGGCCTAAATTCCTTCAGACTTCGAGTAGCTCAAATTCTTTCAGGCTTTGGGGGGCCCAAATACCCAAACTGTAATTTTAAATCATTTTTAATTAATTTTTTAACTTTAAAATTAATTTTTTTATTTTATAAAAAATAAAAATATATATTTTTGATACTTAAACGATGTATATGACTCAAATATATGATATTTTAGTATAAAATGACCTAAAATTTAAAGAATTAATTAATATTTATTATATTTTATAAATTTGTTAAAAATAAACTTTTTTATTTGGGTATTCAGGCTAAGCCCGAACTCGATCAGGCCTGGCCTGAATTTTTTCAAATCTATTCAACCCGAATAAGCCCGAACATAAAATAAATCATTTTTTTAAACTCCGATTCTAAATTTTTTTGAGTGAGTTCAAGCTAGCTCATTGAATTTGATCCAAATTATCAACTCTAGGTCCTGATAACATGCATGCAAAGACAAGCTGATCGAACAAACATTAGAAAATTGTGGATGGATTGAACCGGAGCTTGAAGGAATTAATGAACGTAACAGCATGCTCAACAAGTCTGAGTCGATGTTGAATGCGTCTCTGTCACTGCAAAAGCTAGTTCATTAACTGCTTCGAAGAAGTGGAAACGTATAGCTTAATTAGTGTGCAGCAGAGATTGAAACTGACTCGATCGAGAGAGATATGGATGGAGGGATCTCGTTTTGCATGCAGATTGGTACGTGAGATTCGTCGTCTTGTGAAGATAAAGAGAGAGTTATTATCGGCTCATGTACGTGGAGGTAATGGAGGTTCGTATTAATTATCTTGCGAATAATAAGTTATGAGGCTGGAGGGAGAAGGAGATAAATAAAATAGGAAAAAAATCTGTCAGAAGTGGGATTTGAACCCACGCCCTCTCTCGAAGACCAGAACTTGAGTCTGGCGCCTTAGACCACTCGGCCATCCTGACACGTGACAACGTTGTGTACGGTTCTCTAAAATGTTTGTATCTTATTTTAATCTCTTACAATATGTGTTTGAGCGTAGGAGAGAAAGGGAGATATATTTGGAGGACTGTTAAATTTGGGTATCGAGCTTCTTCCGTCATTTTAATATCTCTTGCAATGCACTAAATTTTCAAGTATTTTTTACAAATTTAAAAAAATAATAAAAGTACACAATTTAATTTATTTTCCTTTCAAAATCATAAAAAATATAAAACAACATCATTTCATCACCTAAAAGTATCAAAATGTCTATCATTTTATATAGAATATAATTATCAAAAGAAAGGGAGAGGGAAAATACAAATGCTTGTCCTTATACATTTTAGCGTGTTTCGATATTAGTTTTTATTCCTTTATTTTTATTGTTCCAAGTCCATTAGTTTCAAATGTATGCAATATTAGTCTTTATCATTACTAGTTAAATTAAATCTACTAATATGTACATAACTCTATTTAATTTGTCGGCTAGTTGATAAAATTATGATGAGTTGAATATTATATGAATAAAATGGCTCCTAAAATTTCTACCTATATGTTTCTAGTTGTGTGTTTTCTTCCTTTTGAAACTTCATTTATTGCACATTTATAAATTCTAATTTAATGCCCTATTTTTTTGTCTTATTATACAACTCGTCATAATTTTAACAAGTTAATACAAGTAATAAAGTTTATGCACATGTTAACTATGATCATATTTAAAATATAAGTACTAAAAATGCATATAGATGAAATTTAATGGACTAGAAACAATAAAATAAAAGTATAAGAAGTAATATTAAAATATGTTAAAGTATAGAGGCTAAAAAAATTGAAAGCTCAAGCATTAAAGGCTCCAAACCTAAAAAATTTTAATATAATACCTCATGTTAATAAGATTGTTAAATTTTTGACAAAATCGCGAGATCAAATTTAATTTGAGAGGTATACTTGGTGACAATTATAATTATTATAACTATCATTAATGACACCTCACCAAGTTAAATCTGACTTGGTAGATTTTGCTAACAATATAACATTTTTATTAACGAAGGTTATATGTATTGAAATAAAAATTAAAATTTCACCTAAAAAAATTTAAAATTTAATAGGGTTATCTAAAATGAAATTTTTAATGTCCTATGTCATCTCTAAGAAGCAATAGCTCATTAGATTAAATTAAAGAGAGGAAAATGAATTAATTTTTTAAAATGAATTTTCAAAATAAAAAAATATACTCAAGTTCAAGCAACCCAAAGGGCTTTACCTTATAACATACTTTCGTTGACTCATATTTATAAGTTATTTCTAACATATTTTACCGAGATCAAGAAAAACTTTAAATTTCATTTACTTGTGTCTAAAAATTTAACAAGTTTTCACATTTACCTTCAATAAATGTTCTTAAATCTTATCAATAATTTTTTATTCAAAGCATTCAATAAAAATAAAAATGTAAAGAGAAGCGTTAGGAATTGGCAAGTGTCCTAATATAACCAAATTCTCTCCCCTCCCCCCAAAAACCCTCTCCCTACCTTATAAATAGGCATGAGGAGTAAGCAATAACAAGCACTCAACTTCCCTTCATGCATATGGACATCCAATAAAATTGGAACCATCCAAAGAATATTAGCTCTTGCGCAAGGATGACATGTACAAATCAAGAAATAACAAGCACTCAAACCTCGGTCTGAATTCAAAGGGAAAGAGGCAGAAATGGTAGAACAGTTCTCAGTAACAAGAGTGCAAGTATGAGTGCACATTAATTGGACATTCCACCACTTATTAGATGCCACCTCCATTTTGGTCCAAAAAGTACATATAAACAGCTAAAATCTTGAAAATGCAGTAGGAATTTGTTGGTGCAATTACAGATATGAAAAGTGCCTTTATCACTTCATGTTTGCTTCTGTGAACAAAACATGACGACTAGCCCTAGGATCATGTACTTTCTAAACTCAAGCTTCTCTGTAAACTGCCTAGGCTTCCTCTTGACATAGAAGAATCCAGTCCCAGCAGCCGAGACAAGCCGAACAAACGTTTGAGCCTTTTTCTTCTTATCACCCATTCCTTATTGGCTTATCCTGTCAAAAAAAACAAAATCAAACGATCCCTTGTTCAGATCCTCCAAGGTTTCATAATTTTGGGGTTAAATTAACTCCTCAGTCCATAAACTTTCACTCAATTTTTCAATGTGATCCTTATCCATTAAAAGTTAGCGACTTGAATTTTTTGTTGTGGATTCAAAATTTTTTTAATTAAATCTTGTTATAGGGCCATTAAATTTTGTGGATGTAACCAACCCTATACCATCTTTGACTGTATCCAGAGATTAAAGTAATTTAACGACATGACTGGGACATGTATTCTTCCCAACTATAATTCAAGCACAACTGACACTTGTATACTTGAGTTGGACCCTTGACTTAATATAATGCCTAACAATTTTGATTCTTGAGACTCTGAATATGGATGATTCATGTCAACCATAAGGTAAAGGTAAATCAAGTGAAATCTACTCATGTGAATGAGGGATTTGGATTTAATAACTATACTTAGTATAGGCACTGAATGTCTGAAGCATTTTTAATCGTTGAAATTCAAATCAACCGTTCAGATAAAATCACTTATTTATTAATCTTAACTGGGGTATGAATTCAAAATCATTGATTTAAAAATTTAATGTCCATATTAAGTATAATCACCAAATCTATATCCGTGAATGGGGAGTGACTTGGCAATAGCATGAATCACGCATGTTTAGAATGTCAAGATAGTCACACGAAGTGTGGCTCAAACGGTAAGCAAGCTTGAGCTCAATAGTTTTGAGGCCTTTACAATGTTAAGAGTTAGATCCCACACATGAAAAACCAATTACAAGGTGGATCTCCTCAATATCCTAAGCAAGATTAGTCTAACACCCAAAATATTTGTGCTGATGGGCTCGCACACAGTGCTTATAACTGAAGAAATGACATTTATGGCTGAGCAGCCTCTTGATTGCAGGAGTCTCTTGAATCAGGATTTGTTTAATGGTCCTATGGAGCAGGCTAGCTGGATATTTGTATTTTATTAAGGCTTTCAGCTTGTTAGATTGACATTATAATCGATTTTGGGGTCCAATAATTGATTTTTGAAAAGATTAACCAAACAGCAAAAAAAGTTGATAACTGATTATTGAGCCAGAATCACATTTTGAAATAAACTCTAGAAGGTTGCTTATAAATTCGATTTTACTGTTAAATAATATATTTACTTCTTAAATAAAGTTTAACAAATTTAATAATATTAAATACACTTAATCAATATTTAATTTTTGAAAATTAATGTTCTTTATGATAATTTGGACAGCTAAAATCAATTTTAGTATACAAACAAATTACGTTATAACATACTTTCTCCGTTCAAAAATATAAGGTATTTTTTAAGGAATTGGATATTAAAAAATGTAAGCATTTTAGTCTTTCAAGGTGTAATCATTGTATTGTTTTCAAAAGTGTCCCTATTAATAAATGACTTTATATTTATTGTAAGATGTTTAATAAGAATAATATAAAAAGATAAGGGTAGTAGAAGTAAGTAAAGTAAGTAACTATTTTATTAAGGGTGAGATTCGGTTAAAAATACTTTACATTTTTTAACGGAAGGAGTAATAATTATTAAAGAAAAATCAATCATATTAATCAATTATTTTTATAATCAATTAAACCCAATTGAAATTCAAACAGGCCATTTGCTTTTTTTCTTTTTTTTTTTTTAAAAAACGTAATGGAGAGCTTGTGGGAAAGTGAAAAAGAATGCGGATAGCAAATTGTGGGCCACATCATTAGAATTTTAATGGCATGCAAATGAATGTGAATGGCTAGGATCTAATCAAAATTAGAAGTTTTCTTTTTTATTATTATCATTATAAGGGCACATTACAGACATTTAACTCTAGAGGCCAGACCTAAAAATTGAATGATTTATGGGAACCTACAAAACAAAGGACTCAATTACATGGTGCATCACAAAACTACTTCAGACTAAAGTGTAATCCACATAAAAAAAAAAGCCATTACATATCATCTGAATAGATCTTCAAAGAGAAAACCTAATTTCATACGAGGCCAACATAAATTTTTTGATGCACAAGATATATATCAGGAAATGAAATTGGTCATCTCTAAAAATAATGACGGTTATCATTTAAAAAAAAAAAAAGTAATTCTTAGGACGTGCTGACCACAAATAAGCACTGTAAGTTTAAGGGTATGCAGTTGGCTTTGTAAACTTTAAAAATAAATACATAAATAAATTCAAACTGTGAACACCATGGATGAACAACAGCAAGAATTTTGTATTTCCAAAAGGGAGTGAAGCTTCATATGGT